CCCCCCCGAGTGGGGACCCTCTCCCCATGGAGGTTTGGCCAGCCTGGGTGAGGGGCTGATGGTTGTTTTCAGACTGGCCACACCCCCTTTAGGGTGTGGGGGGGTCACCACTGGGGTGTTTAGTTTTATTCATTTCAAACGGTCTGGATCCGGCCCGCGGGCCGTAGTTTGCCCATGGCTGGTATAGACTATGAATTTAGTAAAGAATATAAGATGTCTTAAAGAATCTCCTGAAAGGTCAGAGAAACAGATTGTACCAATGTTAATGTAGTCAAGAAAAATAATCAAATTACATTCCCAATCTGCTCATAAAAGCAGTCTCACAACACTGGACAGTCACCACCATTGTCAGTGTGGACACTGAACACAGTATACTACAGCTAGGATCTTGGTTACTTTTATCTCTAAAAGTTCTGACTTTGGCCAAAAACTGTCACTCTCATTTACATAATTCTATACAGTTTTTCTTTCCTTATGGTGCTCTCTTCTAAATTGAAGTCTTTTATGGATGCATCTGATTAGCAAAACCCATGTCTCATGTCTGCACATAAACTGCAAGAGAAGTTGGAAAGGCCCAGCCAGCATGGCTGAGTGTTTGAATGTCAACCTATGAACCAGAAGGTCATTGGTTCGGTTCCCAGTCAGGGCACATGCCCAGGTTGCGTGCTGATCTCCATTAGGGGGTGTGCAGAAGGCAGCCAATTAGTGATACACTCTTATCATTGATGTTTCTATTTCTCTCTCCCTTTCTCTCTCAAATCAGTAAAAATGTATTTTTTTAAAGAAGAGAAGTTAGAAAGTAGTTTTTCTAATACCTCTTAAAGAGGTAGGAGTTATAGTGGGGAAAAGGAGCAGCTGTATAGGAAGGGTGTTAAAAATATATTGGGCAGACACAAATATGCCAAACACAACATTCAATACAATTGAAAGACCAACTTATGCTATTGTATATCATCCCTTCTTCTGGTTAAATGCATAAGGAAAAGCTAAATACATTAGAGAAAAGCTTTCATACATGGTCCTTGTAGATCAACCTTCCTAATGCCGCGACCCTTTAATACATACAGTTCCTCATGTTGTGGTGACCCCCAATTTCATTGTTACAAATTGAACATAATTAAAGCATAGTGATGAATCACAAAAAGAGTAATTATATACGTGTTTTCTGATGGTCTTAGGTGACTCCTGTGAAAGGGTGGTTTGACCCCCAAAGGGGTCACGACCCACAGGTTGAGAACCGCTGTTGTAGATGATATACAATTATACTGTAGCATTGTTTATAATAGTTAAAAATAGGAAACTATCTCATTGACAGAAGAATGGTCAATAAATTGGAGTATATTTATAGTCTGGAATAGTGTATAGCAGTGAAAATAAATGATTGAGAGATAAATCTGTCAACATGGACAAATGTTAGATGTAAATTGTTAAGCAAAAAAGGTAAAAGTATACATAAAATAACTACTTTCCCAAAAGATTGCCTCTTTAACCTACAAATAAGTCATAATATTTATAGACTCAATTAACCATAAATATAATTAATAATAACTAGAGGATTAGTAGCCATAAACAGGCAATAAGCTCAGTCTATGGCAAGTTTGTATTAGAGGTCCTAGAAAGTCTCTGGAACACAAAAGGTTAAAAGCACAAAAGATCTGAATTCTGCTATATTTGTGTATCAGTTTTCTATTGTTGCTTAGCAAATTATCACAAACTTAGCACCTTAAAACAATGTTTACTATCATAGTTTCAGTGGGTCAGAAGTCTGGCATGGCTTAGCAGGGTCCTCTGCTTAGGGTCTCACAAGATTATAATCAAAAGTTAGGCCTGGTTTCTCATTAGAGGCTTGACTAGGGAGGGATTTTTCCATATTTCCTGAGGTTGTTCGCAGAATTTATATTCTTGCAGTTCTAGCAAAATGGGTGATACATTTATTCTTATATTATTACATATAAATAATCATGTATATCCCATCCGTTTGGCACATTCCATTGCTTGGAAACAAATCAGAGGCTCTGCCTATACTCAAGGAGGGAGGAGGATTATACAAATAAATAATACCAGGAGGTGAGGATCATGGGGTTACCTTAAAGTCTCTTTGCCATTCAAAATTTTTATTTCATTATTTTACTCTGCACTATCTTCTTTATCCCCCCATTCGCCCTCCCTACTGAAGGTTAAAAACTCACAATATGATTTGTGGTCCTTTTTTTCTTGTAGTGGGCTTAAAATTGAATTCTGTGGATCCTACAATGAGCATTGATCTTAAATACTTGGGAGTACAACTACCTTTGGCTCCAGCCACTAGCTTTCCTTTCTGGAACCTTACAGGAACCAATCCTGCTTCTCCTGGTGAGTACATCGCATTTATGAAGTCAAACAAATTTGTGAATATAAATGAAAAGCTACCTTTGTTAGAGACAAAGTACGTTTCGGATAGTTTAGGATAGATCTTTTATCTAGTGGCATAGTCTTAATTATTTATAAATTTCAGATAAAGTCTTAATAATTAATTAGATATTAAATATTGACTTACTAGGATTTTTCATCTCTTTTACTATTTCTTTTATAGATGCTGGATTTCCCTTTGTATCTAGAACAGGAAAGACCAATGACTTCACTAAGATAAAGGGATGGAGGGGAAAGTTTCATGGAGCTTCTGCATCTAGGAATGAAGGTAATCAGCTTTTTAAAAAATATATATTTCATTGATTTTTTACAGAGAGGAAGGGAGAGGGATAGAGAGTTAGAAACATCGATGAGAGAGGAACATCGATCAGCTGCCTCCTGCACGCCCCCTACTGGAAATGTGCCCACAACCAAGGTACATGCCCTTGACCGGAATCGAACCTGGGACACTTCAGTCTTCAGGTCGACGCTCTATCCACTGAGCCAAACCGGTTAGGGCGGTAATCAGCTTTTTGAAAAATTATAAATATGTTCTGAAATATGCAACCACAGCCTTCGTTAAAAGTAAGTCTTGGTTGTTTTTCTTCATCTCTTTTCATGCTTTAAAATAAACTGGAAATAATTGTCTTGATATTTGTTTGTTCTCCTTGTTCCCATGGCTCTGGTCCTGGGGATCAGTTCCTAACCACGTCAGGCTTAAATAATTCTTGTAGCCTTTTAAAACTGCTCTTTATTTCTGTTATTCCTAGAGTTATAAAAAGCATCCTTCTAGAGCATTATTTTAGAACTGTATACTTCAGAGTGTATAGTGATTCCTAATAGCATTATACTTCAAAGTAAACTTTTAATCCAAACATTTTGACTGTATCCCTGTTGATTTTCTTTTCCCAATTCACTTGTTGGCAGTTTACACTCTAACCAGATAAATTTATTTGTTCAAAATAGTTTTTCTCATCTTTGAATCTTTTTATAGTGCTATAATAGTGCTCTCTACTAAACTTGCTTTTTCATTCTTTAAAAAGTCAATTTTGGGCCCTAATCGATTTGGCTCAGTGGATAGAGCATTGGCCTGCAGACTAAAGGGCCCCAGGTTCGATTCCGGTCAAGGGCATGTACCTTGGTTGCGGGCACATTCCCAGTAGGGGGTGTGCAGGAGGCAGCTGGTCGATGTTTCCTTCTCATCAATGTTTCTAGCTCACTATCCCTCTCCCATCCTCTCTGTAAGAAATCAATAAAATATATATATTTTTTAAAAAGTCAATTTTTACTCTTTGTTTTGGGGGGGTGTTCATTCTCACCCAAGGCTATTTTTTCCATTGATGTTTTTGAGAGAATGGAAGGGGGTGGGGAGTAAAAAGGAGGGGGGGAGAGAGAGAGAGAGAGAGACAGACAGACAGACAGACAGACAGACATCTACATGAGAGAGACATATTGATTAGTTGCTTCCCGCATGCAGCCCGACTGGGGTTGGGGATCAAACCCTCAACACAGGTACGAGCCCTTGACCAGGAATTAAACCAGCTACTCTTCGGTACTTGGGCTGATGCTCTAACCTTTAAGCCACGCCATCTAGGGCTATTCATTTTTTTGAGCCTTCTTCTTTTGTATATTTTTTTTTATAAGGAAAGAGTCTGTTTTTTCTTTTTTTTGTGTGTGTGTGTGTGTGCAGCCCCCCCCATCGAAAGAGTCTGTTTTTTAAAAAAATACATTTTTATTGATTTCAGAGAGGAAGGGAGGAGATAAAAGAGAGATAGAAACATCAATGATGAGAGAGAATCAGCGATCAGCTGCCTCTTGAATGCTCCATACAGGGGATTGAGCCTGCAACCTGGGCATGTGTCCTGACCCAGAATTGAACTGTGACCTCCTGATTCATAGGTCGAACACTCAACCACTGATCCATGCCGGCCGGGCTGTATTTTCTTTTTTTAATCCTCACTTGAGGATATTTTTTCCATTGATTTTTTAGAGAGGAGGAGGAGGAGGGGGTGGAGAGAAACATCGATGTGAGGGAGACATCGATTGGTTGCCTTCTGCACACACCTCAACCAGGGCCGGGGATCAAACCTGAAACTCAGGTACATGCTCTTGACTGGAATCGAACTGGTGACCTTTCAGTGCTCAGTCTGACACTCTAACCACTGAGCTACGTTAGCCAGGGCTTCCCTTGCAATTTATATCATAGTCCAGGCACTGCAATCTCTTTAATAATCTCTTAGCATTCTGTTGAGGTGTGATTTAAGTATATATTTTTTTGCCCTTAATTTTTTATTTAAGTATGGTTTCTATACTAAGGTCATAAATTGAAAGTTTGTAAACTCTTATCTTAGTGCTAATTATTACTATTGTTAGCACTTCTCAAAAATGCTAAAGAGTGCTCGCTTCCATTTGGTGGCAGCACATATACTAAAATTGGAACGATACAGAGAATATTAGCATGGTCCCTGTGCAAAGGATGACACACAGATTCATGAAGTCTTCCATATTTTTAAAAAGTTAATGCTACATATATGAATTGAAATAATTTTAGAGATTGGATTTTAATATAATTAGTATGTGACATTTAATCTCTTTACTTGGTTTTATATTATATCTTTTTCTTCTGAGGAGGGACTCCTGGCCTTTCTTTGTGTATTTTTTTAGAGATCTAAAGATCTGTTCTAGATTTCTTCAAGTTTCTCTGTCTTCTTATTTCTAGGTGGAAATTCAGAAGGTCCACTGAAAAACCGTTCTGCTTTCTGCAGTGATAAGCTGGATGAATACTTGGAAAACGAAGGCAAGCTGATGGAAACAAGCATGGGTTTCTCTTCTAATGCTCCCACATCTCCTGTCGTATACCAGCTTCCCACTAAGAGTACTAGCTATGTACGAACACTTGATAGTGTACTAAAGAAGCAGTCAACCATTTCCCCTTCTACCTCTTATTCTGTAAAGCCTCATTCTGTACCCCCTGCATCTCGAAAGGCAAAGTCTCAAAACAAACAGGCAACTTACAGTGGCCGAAGTAAAACATCTTATAAATCTATTTTGCCATACCCTGTTTCACTAAAGCAGAAGCACACTCATACTGTTCCAGGAGATAAGGTTACCAAGAATTCTTCAGGCACTGCCTCAGAAAATCAAGTGAATAACTTCGTTGTGCCAACTTTAGATGAAAATACATTCCCAAAGCAAATTAATTTGCGGCAGGCACACCACCACCAGCAGCAGCAACAGGGAACTCGCCCTCCAGGCTTGTCTAAATCTCAAGTGAAGCTAATGGACCTGGAAGACTGTGCACTTTGGGAAGGAAAACCAAGGACGTATATCACTGAAGAGCGAGCAGATGTATCTTTAACAACTCTGCTTACGGCTCAAGTAAGTTATCTGTTGTTTTCCAGAAGCATATTCTTGGCTATAAAAAATTAGGTTAATAAGGGGGATGGGGATTTTAGCAGGAGGATTGGACATTTAGTTAGTTTAGTGACAATTAAGGAGGTGTCTTCCACTTTTGTTCTTCATCAACTAGATACCTATGTGTAGATCCCTGTTGTTGCAGAGGGAAACAGTACGTTTGTGTTTTTGAATAATATTCCTTTTCTGTATAAAGGCAGCTGGCCATTCTGAAAGTCTCTAATTTTATTCTCCAGTGTGTGGGCAAGTATATTTACTTGATCTTGTTAAAATAGCTTTGAAGATTCTGCTTAAAAGGTACTAAATCCCCCCTAAACCCAAAAAAATTATAAACCTATGCAGAAAAAGCTTTTGTCTTAAAAAACATAGTTTTTATTCCTCATTTGAGGATATTTTTTAAAAAATATATTTTATTGATTTTTTACAGAGAGGAAGGGAGAGGGATAGAGAGTTAGAAACATCGATGAGAGAGAAACACTGATCAGCTGCCTCCTGCACACTTCCCACCGGGGATATGCCCACAACCAAGGTACATGCCCTTGACTGAATCGAACTTGGGACCCTTGAGTCCGCAGGCTGACGCTCTATCCACTGAGCCAAACTGGTTAGGGCGAGGATCTGTTTTTTATTGATTTTAGAAACAGGAAGGTGGCGGGCGGGGGGGAGGGAGCGAGAGAGAGAGAGAGAGAGAGAAACATTGATTGGTTACCTCCTGTACGTGCGCCGACTAGGGATCAAACCCGAAGCCTGGGTATGTGCTCTGATCGGGAATCAAAACCATAACCCTTTGGTGCATGGGACGACGCTCCAACCAACTGAACCATACCAGCTCGGGCTAAAATTTTATATTAAGAATTTTCATTTGTTATTGTTTCACCTATCTTAGCTTCTATTAATGTAAAATGACCCAACAAAATGAAGATAATTTTCTTGTCATGAGATTTCTTTATCTTCCATTTTTAAATTCTGTGACTATTCTAGAGTTGAAGATATTAGATGTTGGAACTAGAGAAAGTGTCCTTTATTAATCATTTCTAAAGACTTTTATGCATGTATGTTGTTATTCCTTTTTTATGAATTACCATAAATTAGGGGTCCCCAAACTTTCTATAAAAAAGACAGTAAATATTTTTGGTTTTGTGGGCCATGCACTCTGTTGCAGTTTCTCAATCCTGCTGTTGTTATGCCATGGACATTATTTAAATGAATAAGTCTGGTTGTATTCCAATGAAACTTAATTTATGAAACAAGCTGGATTTGGTCTTTGTGCCTTATGTTGTCAGCCTCTGATCTACAACATTATGTGTGATTTCTATTGAGGATAACTTCATCTTTGTTGATATTTTGGCTCATAATTAATTAAAATATTCTCTTGCTTGCCTGAGCTATGCATTAGAATGGGAGATTGCTCTGAGTTCTGTTAAATTCATGTTCTGTCATTTGAATCTGCCCTAATCTTGTGCTCATAGTACTGAGTGCTCAGACAGAGAAGAAGGCAGACCAACATATGACTGTAGGTTGGTGGTAGTCTTGGGGGATGATTTAGTAGATTTACAATTTTCTGCTTTCACTTTAGGCATCTCTCAAAACTAAACCCATCCACACAATCATAAGGAAGCGGGCACCTCCTTGCAACAATGACTTCTGTCGATTGGGTTGCATATGTTCCAGTCTAGCTTTGGAGAAGCGCCAGCCTGCTCACTGCCGCCGACCAGACTGCATGTTTGGCTGCACTTGTTTGAAAAGAAAAGTTGTACTTGTAAAAGGGGGATCCAAAACTAAGCATTTCCAGAGGAAGACTGCTCATCGTGATGCAGTATGTTATGATACTTTGGGAGACGAGCAAAGGGAAGAAGTGGAGGGAGTCAAGGAAGAGGAAGAACAATTGAAAGAGAAAAAGAAGAGAAAGAAGCTGGAATACAGTGAGTAGTAAGACTTAAAACACTATAGTTTAATTTTTTAGAAAAGTATGGTTATTTGAAAACCTATTTCAAGTAATACTAGTATTTCTTTTTTTATACGAGATGCCTAGATTTTATTTATTTTTATTTATTTTTAAAAAATATATTTTAGTTTTACATATGTTTTCTTATCCCCCATTGTCTCCCCACTCCCTCCACTCATTCCCTCACCCCCCGCCCCCCGGGTGTCTGTGTCTATTGGTTAGGCTTATATGCACATTCGTATAAGTTCTTTGGTTGATCTCTCCCCTTAAAGGCTATTTTACTAAAGCTAGC